CCGGTGGGGGGGGGCAGGGGTTACACAAGCAGTCCACCACCCGAACTTCGGACTTGCGTTTGGAAGACTGTCGTCACAACGAATAGAAGTAAGTTGAGGTAGGATCTGGAGTTTCGGGCAACGCAGACCCGAAGCAAACCGCAACCCCGTAAACTCCACAGATGCAAGGATCCTTACTCCAAGGACCCCTGCAAAAAGGCAAGAATAACGCCCAGTTCACTTCGGAGCTTGCCTCGCAGGCAGTGATGGCGGTGCCGTAAGTGATGACATCCTGAGATCGGTGTAAGGATTATTCTTGTGGTCTTAGGAATCAGGGTGAAGGGTTAGCCAGCCTGTTTAGGTCTAAGCGATTCTGCGTAGTCTAAATTAGAAACACCCCAGACGTACTTCCACGCACTCACAAAGCCCTTTCAAGCCAAGCCACTTCGAAGCACTAGTTCTTATCAAACCCTAACTTCTGATCTCTTTTGGGCCAGGGGCTGCACCCCTTAACTGAGCTTTGAAGTCTTAACTGCAAAGCTTGAAGCCCCGCGACTACCGGGCTTGCTTCATGTTGGATCTTTTGCCTTCGTCGGTTGAAGCAGGCTCGGACCTCTGAACCTGTAGTCTTTTGGGAGTTTCCAAAAATAAAATAGGGGACCCTAACATTAGTACCCTAAATAGTAGGATCCTTATAAGAAGGACCCCCAAATAAGGTACCCCCAATTTTCGGAAACTCCTTTTTAGCTCTGGAGCCCTGGACTCCTAGACCCGAGGGCGGGCCTCCAAAGCAATTGTTTGAGGCTTAGGGTTTAGGGTTTAGGGTTTGATGTTAACAAACTGAAGCCTTTCGAACAGTTTAAGCCTCATATGAGAAACAAACACCGTTAAGCCCTACAGAGCCCTAGTTAGCATGTTGTCTCTGTCGTTGTGCAAAAACCCAAATCCCTTAAACCCTAAACCCTCAAGAAAGAAATAAATAGGCATTGCTTGTCATAAACCGCCAATTTTAAATCCAACCCCAACCCCAACCGCCAGTGCCACGGCCCCAGCCCAGCCCAATCCCCCAGCCCCCCGCCGCATCGGCCCCCGACCTGCCTCAGAATGGCTGCCCAGCCCACGCACAGCCCACGCACTCCTAGCCCAGGCCAACGGGGCCACAACCTCGCCCAGCCCGCCCAACAACCAGCCCAGCCCAGCACCCAATTCCCAAAATCACGTTTCAGTCAGAAAACTACTCGAAACTTTCGGTCGAAACGTTTCGGTCAAAACGTAATTGGCACCCAAACCCTTAACAATTTCTATAAGCCCTAACACCAAGACTCCAGCTTCACGGCAGCCGCCCAAAGGCGCTCGAAGAAGACCAGTGCCTGCCTCGAACGAACGGCTGGATAAAACGAATTGGAATCATATAGGGGGCCTCAATAAGTAGAGTAGGGATCCCTTCACAGGGTTCCTTTAAAAAAGGAGTCTATAAGGATTATTACTATAAGAATTTAGAGTAGGGGTCGTAATGATTGAATAGGGTTTTGGGGCCCATTATACTATAGTTATAATAAGGAGCCCCCCAAATAGTAAAGGTAATCATTACGGCCTCTATAGCATGAGGTTCAGGCGATGAGGATCCAGGGCTTATTCAGAGTTGTCCGTGCTCAGGGTTATATAGGGATGTCCTATGTGGCATGGGGTTTGCCTTCAGGTATGAGTAATGACTATAAGGTGTATGGAGATCTAAATGCCGTCCTTCGAAATGGTGATGGGCTATGCTTGGCTTAGCAATTGCTCGGAGAAGCGTTTTCATACCCCAAAACCGCAAGATCGGTCCTGAACCCTCAACCCAAAGGCCCTAAGGGAATTGAAGATTGTAAACAGACGACGCTTGAAATTCTGTTGGAGAGACCCTTGCGAATATCTGAAACATATCGTTCTCAGAGTCTTCTTTACATGAGCTCGCAAAACTCCTCACCCTAAATATCCCTAAACCCCAAACCCCTAACCGGCAGCCCCAACCCTAAAACTGAAACTTTCAAACTCCTAACCTCCTCCAATCCAAACGCGTTCGAACCCAAGATGTAGAACCCTGCCGGCCGTGCTTATAATGAGGCTTTTAATGCATCATAGAATGATTACGAAGACTATGCAGAAGGCTGCTTTCTGCTTTCAGTCCTGATTCAATCGTCTATAATCGGCCTCGAGTTCAGAATGCTGTCGGACCTGGGGTTTAAGGATTCTGGCTCTGGGAGTAGCGGCACGCTTCAAGGGTTGAGGGCCGTTTAGGGCTTAGGCCGTTTAAGGCTTGGGGTTTCAGTCTACGAGGTACGGCCCTAAGGTTGTGTTCAAGGGCTGAGAGCGTAAGGTTTCTGACGCCAAGCAGCATCCACTGCGATCCTTTGGCACAGGCACTCAGCGCTGCATTGAAGGCGATGAGATTGGGCCCAAGATGGGCGAAGCTCATGTCCTCGTGGTTTCAGGGTTGGGTTCTGGGTTTCAGAGCTCATAGAAGCGATTGGCAAGCCCGAAACACTTAGGCCCCAAACCGCAAACCACCACACTAGCGTGATGATGCTGCCCAAATCTCCTCACCCTCCCCAAGTTTTCAACTCTCCGCAAAGCACTATAATTTGCGACACCTTGAGCCCGAAATCCAGAACTTCTACACCCTAAAACCGAAATGGTATCCTTCTATGACACACCCGGCCCCTACCTAAACCGAAACTCCCACAGGGCACTTACTCTCCCATATAAACTAGGATCCCAAAACTTCTCCTACCCAGACTCCAACATCCCCCAGGCAAGGAAGCGTCCCTCTAAACTACAGCAAGGACAGGATCAAATACTAATCCAATTTCGGGGCCAGGGCTGAAGTGTTTAGGGTTCAGCAACCCTTGACTCAGCGACCCCCATGGAATCTCCACCCCTACAGCCCTGAGCTGAAACACCGAAAACCCTGAACCTCGGAACCCCTTAACCCCTCAACCTAAACCCTGTACAGTAGAAGCCCAAGAGTTGGAAACCCCATAGCCTCGATCCTGAAGAGCAATATATAGAGGGAATCCCAGCACTATTTGGCCTCAATCCGGTTTCCAACTTTATGGGGTTCACTGTAACCCGAAGCCCTCAACCGGACCTCAAGGATCTGCAGCGCAGCGGTCCAGGAAGAAGCTCGTTCGCAGGCACTCATCGCCGATACGAAGCTGGCCTGACCAGGCGTTGGGTTTGAGAATTCGCGGTGTTGCGTTCTGGGTTTAGGGAGTAATGTGGCGGTCGGTTTACCCCCCCCCCCCCCCTCCCCCCCCCCGACCAAAAAGTTTTGGTCTCTTTAATTTGGAACCGGTAACCCCGGACACTGAGTGGCAGGGAATTGGGAGGTGCCGGGGTTTGGGGGGTTGGCTTGGGTGCAGGGTCTGCGGTTCTGCGCGGTCGGGGGTCGGGGGGGTCTGGGGATCACGAAATGCTGGAAACCAAGCCCCGATCACTCCAAGACTACTACGAAGACTAAAAACCCTTCATTTTGAACACTTTTGCCTCCGTAACCTACACTCACACACTCCCACCCACAATCGACCACGTCTGAAGCTTTGTGCGGTACAATAATAGTACAGTAGTACAATAGTAGTACAGTAGAAATAAAACAGTGGTAGTACAATAGTAGTACAATAATAGTGCAGTAGTACAATAGTAATACAACAGTAGTACAGAGGTAGTACAATAGTAGTACAGTAGTTGTACAATAATAGTAGAGTAATACAATAGTAGCACAATAGTAGTACAGTAGTAGTACAGTAGTAGTACGATAATAGTACAGTAATACAATAGTAGTAGTAGTACAGTAGTAGTACAATAATAGTGCAGTAGTACAATAGTAACACAACAGTAGTACAGTGGTAGTACAATAGTAGTACAGTAGTAGTACAATAATAGTACAGTAGTACAATAGAAGCACAATAGTAGTACAGTAGTAGTACAGTAGTAGTACGATTATAGTACCGTAGTACAATAGTAGTACAGTAGTAGTACACTAGTAGTGCAGTAGTACAATAGTAATACAACAGTAGTACAGTGGTAGTACAATAGTAGTACAGTAGTAATACGATAGTAGTACAGTAGTACAATAGTAGTACAGTAACAGTACAGTGGTAGTACAATAGTAGTACAGTAGTACACTAGTAGTACAGTGGTAGTACAACAGTAGTACAGGAGTACAGTAGTAATACAGTAATAGTACAGAAATAATACCAATAAGCAAAGCATAAAGCCAGTGAGCACATTCCCCCAATAAGCAAAGCATAAAGCCAGCGCCTGAACCCTAAACCCTGAACCCTAAACCCTAACAAACCCTAAACCCTAACGAACCCTAAACTCCTAAACCCTAACAAACCCTAAACCCTAAGCCCTAAACCCTTCCCAAGGGGGGTCGGTCCAGATTGGACCCAAAATTGAATTTTTTATACAAACTTTAGTACTGGAGAGGCCTCTTTTGAGCTAGGGTCGAATCCCCGATTCGGCGGTTCACCCTAGCAGCCCCCCCCAATAAGCAAGGCATACAGTAGCAGTACAATAGTACAATAGTAGTACAGTAGTAGTACAGAGTCCCATTCCTGACGCCCCAATAAGCGAAACAATTCTGCAAGAGATTTTCGGGCTTCAGGGCCAGGGTTTTAGGGTTGGGTGGGGGTTTGGGTGGGGGTTTAGGTCGTGGCTGCCTTAAGATTGACCATCAGCAAATAGCACAGCCCCGCCACCAAAAAATCACCCCAGCCAAAAAAAAACGCATTAATTAGACCAAGCCCAAATTTGTGGGACCGGTCGGAATTAGCCCCCGAGCCGACGCATTAAAGGAGCCCATATTCCTAAACCGACCGGCACATTAAGACGTCGGGGTTTAGGGCAGGGTTAAAGGGTTTGAGGATTTGGAGTTGAGCGGTGCGGGCTTTAGGGTTTTGAGCTTCAGTGTTTCAGCGTTTTTTAAATGCCAGTGTAGAAAAGAGTTCAAGGAATTGAATGCCTTCAACCCTATCTCTTGCCCTAAACCCGAAATCCCCAGACCCTAAATCCGAAATCCCTAAACCCGAAATCCCTAAACCCTAATCCCGGCATCCTGCGGCACAGCATTCTGATGCATTCTGCCTCCGTCGGCTGCTTTGGCACCTGCAAGAGGCAAAGGGCCTGCTCCCACCTCAGATACATCCGTCTCACGTTTTCCATCCGGATTTCGTTTAAGCTTTGTCGAATCTCTGGCCCCAGCCATTCATCCCCAAACCCGAAGGGTGCAGCCTAGGTCCTCCGCCCTATCCGAAGCCTGTAAACTCTTAATTTTCCATCGCAGGGTTTGGTTTTGGGATGAGGGCTTACAGGGTTTAGGATTTCTTGTAGGTTTTCTGGTCAGGTAATGCGAACAAGTCACTGTGTCGCGGCCTGACAAACCCTCACTGCGGAGCCATACCTGTTTTCCCAGGGCCAATGAGTCGAAGCAGTGTTGAGCTGGAAGCGGTCTTGGGCTTAAGGCTTGAAACCATAGTACTGAGAGCATTTGAAGATCTAGCAACGACGATCTGTGGCGCTTCTGGGGCATATGGAAGCAAAGAGAACAGCAGAATCCGATGCTGCATTGACTGATCAAATTCTGATCAAGAAAAACCCGGACTGGCTTGAAGGCGCAGGCCAATGTTTACGATCTGAGTGTCTTGGTACTCGAAAGCCGCGCAAGGGGTCTATGCTTTAGGGTTGGTGGGGTCCTCCCCAAACCCTAAACCTACACAACGGGACGCATGGTGCTGAAACGGTGTGTCGCGCACTGCCGCTGCTCTGAACTGTAAGGCGATAATGTGGGGTGAAGAGCCATGATCCTCCCCAAAACCACGAACCCTCCCCTAAACCCTAAACCTAAACCCCTAAACCCTAAACCTCTAGACCCTAAACCCCTGAGCCCTAAACTTCTAAACAGTAAAACCCTAAACCTCAAAGACGTCCAGGCACATGATTGGATCGGCCCTTAAGCTGCTCGCTTGGGCGTGCTGAAGGAGCTGCAAGGCGGGTTCCCACTTGTCAGCAGCCTGGCCGTCGAGAGAATGGATAGAATAGGGTTTTGGATATGTTCTGCCACATATATTTATACATATATATATATATATATAAACAATTCGGTTCTATTCTATTCTACTATATATATATATATATATATAGATATATATATATATATATATATAGAAGGATCATTGAGGGGATCCTGGTACTGGGGCCATACTTGGGCTGAGGGCTTAGTCTGCTCAGGGTTTCGTGCTTAGGCTTTCGGAATGAAGCAGCGTTTGTGCATGCTTCTGAGCTGCAACAACCCACAGTTCTAAACCAGAAGGTCAGTAATAGTAATGATGATGATAGCAATTACAAGAATAGTAACAATCGTTATAGCAATAATCGTAATCGCAATATTGATGGCAAGAATAACTATAATAAGACTAGTGCAAACTGCCATCGAAAGAAGGTCCTGAAGTTCAACGCTTAGCCCCAATTTCTGGACTCACATACTGGGCCCCAGGTCGCGACTGCACGAAACCCTCAACACCCAACTCACCAGATTTGAAGCATACAAAAATCGGGAAAACATGGAAGGACTGCTTGAAGGACTACTACACTGAACAAACCACCAAACCCATCATCTTAGAGATCTTACACCGACTCCCCGTAGAAGGACCTCGAAGGTCTCGAAAATGGTGCTGTATGTGATGGTATCCAGCTCCAGGGTCTGTTCGAAGAGGTCCTGGATTTGGGGTTGAGGGCAAACAGCGAAACATTGATGAACGTCGCATTGAAGTTTTCGTCAGTCTTGTTGGCACCCGAAAGGCCTGCAGGACTCCTAAACCCCTCAACCCAACATATGACAGTTGTACGCTCTCTCTCTCTCTCTCTCTCTCTCTCTATATATATATATACACACACACACACACTCAAGATGCATATATATATATATGTATATATATATATATGTATATATACACACACATAGAGTATGTGTATGTGTATACATATATATATATATATATATGTATATGTACATATGTATTATACATATAGAGTATGTGTATATATCTATATGTAGAGCATGCGTCGTACATGTGTGCCACAACCCTGCAAGGCATACCAAAGTCTCGCACAGTCCTGGCAAAGCAGCCAGGCTTGCAGCCATTCCGAAGACCGACTGCAGCTTCTCCTAAGGCAGGCTCCACGTTTAGGGCTTTCAGGAGTCTGGGTACAGGGCTTAGGGTTCAGGGGTTCAATGGTTGGGGGTTTGGGGATTTAGAGCATTAAAGGTTTATAGGGTTGAGGGGTTTAAGAATTAAGGGTTTTGGGGTTTGTTCGGACAGGTGGCACGAATGTCACGAAGCCTCCTACGTGTAGGTCGACAAGCAGGTACATACAGGATGGTGAAACATGCCTTGGGGTGTAAGGAGCTCCGGGCTTGGTTTAGGTTCTTCGAGGTTGTGCACAGCTTGGGGCTGAGGGTTTAAGGCTTAATTCATACTCAAAACTTGGAAATCCAAGGTGTAGCTCTTGAGAGGCTGGATTTGGTCCACGGGTTAAGGACTGCGCGTTGGCTCCCAGGTTTGGGGTTTGAGGCTCTTGTGCAGGGTTTGGGGTCGGGTCGCTTAGGCTTAACGCGGATATTGAAGTCACGGGATGATCGCCACGAGCATTCAGGAGGAAGGGTTGCAAACAAGAGGAGATCTAGCTTCCGGGAGGGGCTGAATCAAATAATGACCACAACCCAAGACTGACGCTTGACAGGGGTTTATGAAAAAACAACAGTTGCCACAAACCTAAGCTTGGTCCAGTATCATTGCCGTGCTGAAGGACACGACATCCAACTCCAAACCTGCAAGTAAAAGGCTTTCATAGTTGGAACTGGGTTTTAGGGTAGAAGATGCAGACTTATGATATACCTATACTATATTGGGATACTCTTACTCAGTATTCCGACAGGCTTCGATGATTTTCAGAAAGACCGAGAATCGAGTTCAGGGATGTCAGAAGCTGGGCTTCTTGCAAAACCCTAAACCTGTACAACCCCAAACCTCAAAGGATTGCTTTTGGGTTGGGGGGGAATCTGGACCTGGCAGGACGCCGGAAACACCGGCGGCAGAAGGTCAGGGATTTACCCTGGATCTTTGACTTGAAGATGTTGCCAACCCGAAAAGGCGGTGTAGAGCTTACCGAGCCGGAAGCGCTGCGAAACCTCACAGAACCCCATGTAAACTCTCGGTTCCCCCCCCCCCCCCCCCCCCCCCCGAACCCCGGCCACCGGTTCCAGCACCCCGCTCAAGCACAACCCGCAACGAACACGAATGATCCCAGCCGGGGCAGAGAACCGCATCAGAGCAGAGACAGGGGCACCATTTGCAAGGAAAAAAGAGCAACATCAAATTTTGTAGTATGGTAACGAGCACATAACGATGACATTACTACTAACAAGTGGCAGCAACCATACCATACCTCTGCAGAACACACTGCCCCCCCACAGGCGGGCGGGGCCAACCAACAAGACCACAGGCCCCACCCCACAGGGGGGGAGGGGACAAGGCACGTAACGAAGGCATTACTACTAACAAGCGGCAACAACCATACTATACTTCTGTAGAACACACTGCCCCCACAGGCGGGGCGGGGCCAACCAAAAAGACCACAGGCCCCACTCCACAGGGGGGGCAGAGGACAAGGCCAAACAAGACTACCCAGGAAGACGGGAAAGCAACAAGACCAACAAGAAGACTACCCACTTGACAGGCAAGGGGATGGATACCATACCATGGGGTGGGGGGGGGAGGGGGGGTGTGGCAGCCCTGCATCATGTATGCGTGTGCAACCATGAGGGTTTTCCTGTTAAGGTCTTCGAGGACGAAGAGGCTACGAGTGTTCCGGGCATAGGGGTTTCGGGGTATCATATGTGGTTGATTCGGCCTCCTTGGATGATGCGATGGGTTTGGCGCAGAAGCCCAAAACCCAAGCCTAAACACCAAGTCCCAAAAGCAACGAAGCCCTAGCACACACACAACCTCACGACTCCCACCTTCCTCTTGGGCAAGGTGGAGGACTTGAAGTGTCTGCTGCCAGGCGCCCCCATTGGCGCAAGCGCTGGCTGCAGCATTGTAGGTGACAATGCTGGGGTGGTGGAGAGTTGACGCTCGGAGCCTGGACATGTAATGAACATGCAAGTTTTGCTTTGCAATGCTAGTCTCGAAGTCTAATGACTATCACTGTGACTGAAGGTTCTGGATTTAGGGGCTCGGGGCCACGAGGCTTAGTGCTGTTTTGTGGAGCTCATGGCAATGACGGCTTACACTCTTTCGCGCCTGCAGAACAAAGCTGGCAGGAAGCCTCTCGATTGTGAATTAAGGTTTCATGGTTAGGCATTTGGGGTTTAGGCGGTTTAGGAGTTTAGGGTTTTTGTAGGGGCAGCATTCATCGTAATTAAATAGTATTAGAGTCAACAATCGGAAAGCATTTTCAACAACCAGGAATCCTTTTTACCACGAAAATTGAACATCGGAGCCGTGACCCACCCAATGCCCTCCTTTCATCTTGAGTCTTGAGTCCTACGCTGCCCATGCAGTACCGAAAGCTAACCGTTGGTTAGTAGGGAATGGAGGAATGGGGTACACTTATAACTACTATTGCTACCATTCTTCCATTCCCTACTAATCAACGGTAAGTTAAGCCGCTGCCGAAAGTTGCTCCAAGCAGCAGTGAACATGCGACTTGCCACTGTGCAGCAGCAGCGCAAGCACTGATGGCTGTGGTGTATGTGATGGCATCTGGGCATTGGACCCCACGGAACAAGCACATAGCCTGCTCCCACTCCAGTGCCTGGGGCATTTCTGCAGAACAGCCGGGCCAAGCTACACCTAGCTGCGAGAGACCTCCCACAGTTCATACTGCGTCCTGTAAGCTCTACATGCCTTAAACCCCTACCCCTATATGCAAAGCCAGTAAAGCAGCCTCTCACTCAATTCCTGTAGAAGCTTCTCTACGTTCCTCCAGTCATCTTGTCTATTCTCTACAGATAGGCAAGCCAACACCAAGAAGTCCAGTGGCCATCGACGAGATCACCGAATTCTGGGAGACGACGTCCGGATCAACGCGCAGTCGCTTCATTTCGCCGAGAAGCTGCAAAGCCTGGTCTTGGCGGGTTCACCATTTAAGGCTTCGGGCTGCTAGGTAGTTGGAGTCTTTAGGGCTTTAAGTTCTCAGGCCTTCCATTATTTGAGGATGTCGGCTCAGCGTCTAGGCTTTGGAGTCCTGCTTTAACGATCCCAGCACCTCATACTCTTGGGAAGCTTGCAACCAAGATGCGTCAAGTAAATGCATACCCTAAAGCGAGCTATCCAGGCATCAGACAGCCAAAGTCGTAACCTGCGAGTCTCAACAATTTGTGGCAAACCCAGGGATGTTGAAAGCTCAGGAACCCAACCCACAAGCTTAAGGGATTGAGGATTGTGTAGTGTCGGACTTCAAGCATCTAGGAGCGACTTTAAGCATTACAAAATGATTTTCGTGGCATGCTACAAAGCTTTAGACCCGAAATATGAAAGTTCCCCAAAGATTCAGAACTCTATGTATCAAATCCTCAGCCAGCACCTTCTCAACGACTCCCAACACATCACCATCTGAAGCGGCACTGTTTTCCGCAGGCTGCATAAATTCCAAGATATCTTGGAATCCTTCAACTGAGGACCCCCGGTTTCGGGTTTAGGGTTTAGTAGGGTTTAGGGTTTAGGGTTTAGGGTTTAGGGTTTAGGGTTTAGGGCATGTTGATGTTTGTGGGGGCTTCGGGGCGTTTAGGGTTTGGGGTCTGGGGCTTGATGGCTCTGGGCGTGTGTCAGCCCATTGTACTTCCCGTAACAAGAGAAGACTAAACCCTAATCCCTTGAAGCCTGAAAGCCCCTAAAATAATCCGGACACTCTAAACCTTGAAGCCCTAAAGCCCTGAACCTGAAAGCCGACACCAAGCCCGGAACTCCCCGAACTCTGATACCCGAAACTTGACACCAGCAACCCTCAAACCTAAGTTCATCTGAGATGCCTGCTGCCACTTAGCCGCTTTCTCACACGCATCGAGTGCCGAGTTGAAAGCAATCCTCAAGGACACATAGGGTTAGGGGTTTCGGGCTTTAGGGCTTGGGGTTTAGGGGTGTAGGGCTTCTAGGGCCACGGGACGTCTTAAGAGATTAATTAAAGGCTTGGGATTTCGTGGGTCGCTATTCGGCTTCAAAGGCTTCGAATGGTTTTGACAAGTCTTTGTCGGGCCGATTTGAGTCTTTGCTGGGCTTACAGACTGCTCTCATGTCTGGGTTTCGTGGCTTTATAAGGGAGTTTCCGAAAATTAGGGGGGTACCTTATTTGGGGTCCTTATAATAAGGATCCTATTGTTTAGGGTACTATATTGGGGTCCCCTATTTTCGGAAACTCCCATAAGGCTGCGGGTTTAGCTCTGTACGGGCCTGATCGTGTTTTGGAACATTGTTGATTTGCTGACGAGCTGAATCCTGTGGTACCTTCAATTCGAGTACCCTAGATTACAATGTATAAGCCCCATCATGGGGAGTCCACCAGCAAGATCGGTTTTCCCGGGCGAAACCCCCAATCCCTAAACCCAAACCCCTAGGGCTTCGCCCCTCTAGGCCCGACACTACCTGGCTAGTCTAGGGTCTTGCTTCCTGTCTCTCTTCTAGCTCAGGGTAGGGTAGCGTTTGTAGCGTCACGATAAGGAACTAAAACTAAACCCCTGATGTTCCTTTCAGAACCCTTCCAAACACTATGAAGCCCTAAGCCCGAAATTCCGCTGGCGAGGTGCAAGCTTGCTCTTGTCTTCGCTGCCTGCGCCTGGAGCTTAGGGCTTTTCGGTTCTAGGGTTCAGGGTTCGGAGTTTAGGAGGTGCAGGGAGTGTTCTGCAGCCGCTATACGAAGAACTATCAGCCCGAATGTGCTCTTCCCTCCAGGTTAGACAGAGCCCCGTGGAAAGGAAGCGCCATGCGCGATCTCGACAGCACACTACCAAAAGGATCAGGAGACTCAGTAAGAGTGATGTGGTTGAACATAACCGAGTTGGGAATACACTCATGGGAATCCCGCCCTACTTGCCGTCGTGTTTTCTGCTCGGGCCGCCCAATTAAAGGGTGTCCTGGAGTCTTTCCGATGATTGCAGAATTGCAAACCAGGTTCAACACAGATTCAAAAGGATAAACCAAGTTGAATACGTCAAGGATGAATACTTTAGGCTTTCTCTCTTCAATCTTTGCAGGAAGCCTCCTTGCTGTAATAGACCTAAGACCCCAAGCCCTAACGGTGGCCATGACATGTGCGTGGGGCTAAGGCTCTGAGGTAAACGAAGGCATTGGTACAGCAACCTCCTTGCTGACTGCCGAGTCCTCAGAACATCCAGTCGACACGACAAGCATCAACAAATAGCCATGGACCCACTCCCTGAACCTTAAAACTTCGTCGCTGCCTCAAATAGCAAGGCCCAGGCGGCTTGCCATAGAAAGGCCTGCCGTACAATCGAAGGCTCGGGTTTGGTGGGTTAGATGGACTTTTGCGTATATCTGCCTTGGTCCTTGCAATCAAGACTCTTTAACATCAAGGCTCTGTAGTCTTGAGTCTCTCGAAGCCATGACACTCTCAGAGTGCATCAGCCCTAAACCGGAAAGCTCTGAATTTCCTAAACCCCCAAACCCTAAACAGCAAAATGATCAAGTCCCGAAGCTCTGATAGACCCTTGATCCTGAACTGCGCCGAAACACTGAGGCTTTGATGGTACCAATTACACTCTTTACACTCTTCACAAAACACATGCTAAATCCTCAGTCTTATCACACCCCTGTCGAGCTGAAAAGCCCGACCTTGCCACACACACGGATAGCGGTGCCCAACATCACTTGATCCATGTCTGTGGAGCGACAGCGCAGGGAGTCAAGGATGAACCTCTGAGTTTTGTGGCTCAGGGAACAAAAGGGCTCAGGATTCAAGTCTGGGTTCAGGGCTTCGGGTTTTGGGATGTAGGGAGGGCGGTTTAGGCTCTTGTGGGCCTTTCTCTTTAGAAAGCCCAGGCCACTATCGGGGCGAGAGCTCGAGATCTTGGTGCTTCGGGTTTGCCACAGCTAGGCGGAGGGCTCCGCAGTTACAGCAGACATCATGTGCCATGTGCCGCGTTGATGGGCTTTTGGTTGCTGGTGTCTCATGCTTGTCGCATGCAAGTTGAGAAGCTTCGCACGGGGTGGAAGAAAACCGGCAGACAGGAGCGGTTTTTCCTGAAGAGTAAGCGAGTTTTCTCAACTGTCCAATTTGGTGTTGACCGAGTGGCTTTCAGCATCTCTCAAATGTGCACATTCCCTGTGACGTGATGAAATACCGATTGTGAATATCATTCGGGTCCGGCTGTGTGCTTGCTCACTTTGTACGCAAGCATGAAGCCACACGGGACAAACCGATCTAAGGCAAGCGGAGGATCTCTGCATACCAGCAACGAGCAAGACCCGAAGTAACTATTGAGCTTATCTCAACCTTTCAATCTCAGGTTCATACAACACTTCCCCAAGCACGACAATTCAAGACCACCATGATCTCATCCTAAGACCTGTAAGGCCAGCCCACTTGACACACTTAGCCCCCTACAGTCGAAACCGCGTCATGCGGGACCGGGGAGCTTGAACCACTACCTAACCACGCAAAGCCCCTTAATCCTAGTGAAGACCGCAGCTAAGAACTCTTCCTTCTTTAAGGCCCGTAATATGTGAATTTGGATCCCTAGGACAATCCTTTAAAGCAAGCGTTGTTGCCTTAACTTCTCAGTGGTCTACATGAAACCCAAACTCTCAACCCGTGACTGAAGAGCGAAGTGTCAGTGCTGATGACCAAGCGGAAGCTTCGGAGCAGGCAGACATCCTTAAGTGCTTCGTTGAATTTTGGGCTTACGGGGCTTAGGGTTTAGGGTTTGAAGTTTCCGGGTCTTTCGGGGCGGCAAGGGCGATTAGGGTCCCGAATCACCCAAGGCTAAAGCCATCCCTCTCCTCGGATTTCAAACGCTGCAAGGGGCTTTCATACTTACGATGAAGCCCAGATTTAAGATCTTAGACTTTCGATGCGCCAGGATTGAGGGCTTGGGTTGTTTGTGTTGACGCATTTCGCACTACTTCTACAGGTCTTGTCGGCACGGCACCATTGCATGGGGTGTCTAGAGAATTGCCCTGGGATGTTGCCTATGCCCCTAAACGCTGCTTTACCTGAAGCCCACATTCCGAAGTCCAGACCTTAGCTATGCAAAGATTCGCAGCGCTTTGGATCACCACATCGCTCTCCAATTTCTCCTGCATTTTTCATTATACCATATCATATCATATTATATTACATTATATCATATTAGATTAGATCGTATTATGTTATATCATATCATAGTGTTTTATAGCATGCCATCGGGGAGTTGCCAATTCTCTGAAAACCACATTTTCCTGGTTAGGGTCGTTGAAGCCCTGACGAAAAAATCCAGCCCATGAGCCTTTAAGTGCGTGTGAGTTTCGTATGGTCTCCTAAAGGTTTTTCTGGTGGTCTAAGGGGTTCGTTTTTTTTTTTTGTGGGTCCCTTTCGTCCTTGCAAAGTCGGCTTGCGAAGATTGGCAGAACCTGTTAGAGCGCCCGGAGGGCAAGACTACAAAAACATTAGCAATGGTAGAACCTCAACCTCCAGTAGGGGACCCCTAATATAGTACCCTAAGTAGTAGGCTCCTTATTATAAGCACCCCAGCATAAGGTACCTCTAATTTTCGGAGACTCCCAGATGACCGACAGAAAATTCAGCATCTCGTTACCTAGAAAAGCCGGCAGTGCACTCTCCAAGGGTTTAGGGCTTGGGTAAACATGGTTAACCCTTACTTACGCCCCAAGACAGCACGTAGACCCCTGCAAGCCCCGCCCACACACACACACAGAGAAACACCCAAACAAAAAACACACAAGAACTCATCTCAGCTCGTTGAGCCGGCTTGAGCCATTGTGCGGGCTTCAGGATTCTGGCATTAGTGCATAAGCTCACATTTCGTAAACCATGTATGAGATAGTGTTTGGGTTTGGGGTTTCGGCTGGACGCAAACTGCTAGTTGGCTTCAAACATCGTTAATCCTTCGGTTTCTGTCCTACTTTTGCGAGCCTGATTCGTGTTTGCAGGATCCCGTGCGAGTCTCAACCCCACCTTTCCCTTCTCCCAGTGGGTCCGAAGATAGAGAAAGCCAGCACTAAGTACTACATTTTTTGCGGAGCACCCTGCGTACAGGTAACGAATAAGGAAGTGGGGCCAGGATGATGGTCATGATGATATCCTAAACCCCAGACCGTACAACACGTACACCCCGGACCCTAAACCTTGAACCATGGATCAAAAACACTAAACCCTCGACCTCACACCCTAAACCCGTAAACCTCTAAACTCCAAGCCTTAAACTTGCTCTGAACCCATAAAACTCCGTCTGCCCCGTCCTCGTCTACCTGCTGGAGGAGATTAAGAGCAGCAATCCACTCCGAAGCCCGCTGGCAGGTACCAAGGGTGCAGCTGAAAGCAATCCTCAGGGCAGCTCATAAGGACTCCCCAACAAGGACCGAAAAAAAAACATACAGGTAGGACATGCATAATCCATTCTTTAAGGAAGCCATCTAAGGTCGAGCAGTTTATGTTTAGATGCTTTGTTGGTCAATCTCCACACTTGAAATTCAGCAAAGGAAACACACGAGAAACCCCCAATCCACCCTACTTTCGGCGAGGTTTGCCAGTGACCTCCTGACAGTATGGGGCAGCCTGTTCCGTACTGCTCAACGATGTCCAGAACTCCAAAGTGAAATAGGGGTAAACACTTGGCCGTAGACTAAACACTTAAACCCTAAAAACAAAACCCCAAGAACTACGCGCACAGCTCGAAAACCGAACAGAACGAGTCAACTCCCCAATTGCAAGATGTACAGATCACCGAAAATGCAGTAACAACCCCCCCAGCCAGACAAGTGTCAAATTTCGTTGGAGCCGACATGCAGAAGTCTCCTCCAAGAGAGACAAGGCCAGCTGCCATGCAGCAGTAGCCCTGAAACAGTTTTCGTGGCGGCTTTACTTTCGGTTTAGGGCGATAGGGTGGCTTCGAAGAACACAACTACAGGCGTGCGCTACGTCATGCCACAATAAATCATGCCTCTGCCATGCTGGTGCTTCCCCCATCTAATCGCTGAGAAACGAAAGTCATGAAGTTGGTGCTTCCCTCAAGTATGGCAAACTGGTCAGGGTAGCGAGCATTTCTGGTCTGGAGTAGTCGGGCTTACATTTGAAGACTTCCCGCGCTGGTGCTGCCTTCCAGTGTGGCGTCGCTGGTCTGGGTAGTGAGCGTTTCTGGCTTGGAGGACAAATCGGGCTTGCAGTTGAAGGCTTCTCGGGCTAACTATCGGGTTTCAGGTGCTTTTGATGGTCTTAAATTGGGAATTTGATTTCGGGGTTTTGCATGCTCGGATTCAATCCTGCAGATGGACCAAAATACCTGCTTGATGTTTCTATACAACAGGCAACACGTACCCTAAACCACCAGAAAAAAAACAAAAACACACACACACACACACACACACCAAACCTGCCACGTCTCTCGCCGTCTAGGTCGCTATGGTCTGGAGAGTGATGGGCAGCATGAACTCTCAAGCCCGACGTTCGAATCCATGAACAAGGGTTAGTAGTAGGGTTAGTAGTAGTAGTAGTAGTAGTAGTAGTAGTAGTAGTAGTAGTAGTAGTAGCAGTAGTAGTAGTAGTAGTAGTAGTAGTAGTAGTAGTAGTAGTAGTAGTAGTAGTAGTAGTAGTAGTAGTAGTAGTAGTAGTAGTAGTAGTAGTAGTAGTAGTAGTAGTAGTAGTAGTAGTAGTATATATATATATAGTCGTAATAATAATGAATACTAATAATACGCCTTCGGGCACCGGCCTCAGAGCATTGATGGTGCAGGTGTAGGAGGCGATGTCCAGTCGGAGGTGCTTCCTTATTTCTGGTTCCGTTTGGTGTCTTGTTTTGGCTGAATGGGCTCAAGGCTTTGGTCGCTTGGGCTCTGTTTTTGGGGTCGTTGGGTTTAAGGCCTCGGACTTGGGTTCGGGGTTCAAGGCTTATTCGGTTCTTAGGCTGTGATGCTCAAACCTTGTCCTAAGTTTTTGCATTCCCAATCAACCCACAGCTTCATCACTAAAGTGTGAACCCTAAGCCCTACACTGTGACACTAGACTGGAAACTGTAGATACAGTCTCGTCTTGATTATTACATGTTGCGGTTACTACCGCTTCGATCGGTTTGTGCTACTACGGCCTACTGCTGCTACTCCGTAACTTTCGCTTCGTTTTGTCTCACTTCTAGCACCGAAGAGTGTGGTTGGGCATATGGGAGTTTCCGAAAATGGGGGGTGCCTCATTTCGGGATCCTTATAATAAGGATCCTAATACTATTTAGGGTGCTATATTAGGGTCCCCTATTTTCGGAAACTCCCGTATTTATCTACCGAACGGTGTCGACCGCAGTGTTCTCGCCGGTTTCGGCTTTGGTGGTGGGGGCGCCGATGGCGCCCTCTTCTTATCCCCGAGGTCTATGACCGAAACCCCTAAAGACCTGCATTGAGCCCACATGTTAAGCCCGTAATCTAAACCTCAAAGCAGGCTTTAAGCCGCAAACCCTGACGTAGATGGCAACCCCCTGCAACACTTTCAATCGAGATCGTTTCCAAGAGTCTCCTTCGCAGCCTGCAACAAAGACCTGAGTTCATCTCTTACCCTAAGGCCTAAGGCCCTCAACCCGAACCCTGAACAGACTCTAGGATCGGCTTTAGGGGACAGTTAGTGGGCGTTCAAGGCTGAAACGAATACTTAGGATTTGCGATTGGGACGTTTGGGGTTGGGCTTTCCGAAACAGGGTAACAAGTTCGGGCCTTGAGGTCGGCATTACGTGCTCAGGGGTAGGTTGGTGAAGCTTCGGCAGTCTGAAGCACAAAGCTCCTCTGTAGCCACTAGATGGCTAGAGTATAACAGTAGTTTAAACATTCACGGAGGCTTAGCTGGTCTCACTTAACTTCGCCGCGAAGCCCGGAATTCTACATGCTCATGTCTTTTAGTCTAGGGTCTTGACAAACACAAGCGGCAATCATGCAGAGAGAACTTCTTCAAAGCCTGCCCCACTTGTATTTTAGTACTCCTATTCTCCGACTTTGACCCCCGAATCCCCTGCATGCTCGATTGCGGAAGTCCTGAGACTAACGAGAACACCTCGAACATCCAAGAGACTCTTTCTTCCCCGCTTCAGGGTCTACGCGGCTTAAGGGTTTAAAACCTTCAAAATAGACTGCGACGCCTTTGTCGTTTAGGGTATTTTCTTCCATTCCGCAACAGTAGAGTCTCTGGATCTCACAGCCCGGCAAGACTGTTCAGGGGTTTTAGGGGTTTCTGGGTTTGGGGTTTAGTCTCTGGGGGTTCCGGTTTTAGGAAATTTGAATTTAATTAGGGCTTAGGGGATTTAAGGGTTTACGTCCGAAAGGCAGCGCCGACTTCCATTCCCGGGTTTTGGCGAAGTTGCTTAGCACCTGGCACCAATTGCGCAGAGGCAGGATCCAGAAAATTGAAGAATGTTACTCGCAGCAGCAGTACCCTGCAGCTGCCATGCAAGCCACAGCAGTCAATTCAGCTATGTGGGCATTAATTACTAACATGTTGTCTTCATTTCCGCGGTGGGATTGGGTGTGTTCCTAATTAGCGGCTTCTTTACGATGTCTCTCTTCCTAGACGTTTGTTGTGAACAGGTTCCCTGACACGAGGCCGAAAACTGAGAGCCAAAGCACAGTTTACTGGGAACCGTAAACCTCCATCCTCGAGACTTGATTTCGAAAGCTCGAAACCCTGAAGCCCAAACCTGAAGTCTTCATGCGACAATCTCCACCTGCTGCATCTGTATCCATACATCTTCAAGCCCGATTACTCCAAATCTTCAACTGCTGATATCTGACAGAACCCTGAACCCCAAATCCCACACCAGCTGCCGTTCAAGCCTTGTTGCACTCAAAGGCTGTGCTGCCATGTTGAAGCCCGTACATGGCACGACGATGCGACGGCAAAAGTATTGCCTTTCGCGTTGAGGCCTTTACGGGCTTATGGGGATTCACATGTGGGCTCCGGGCTTTAGGTCTTGGGGTTTTCATGTTCAGGGCTTGTGTTTGGGGGGGGTGTTTGGGTGTGTGGTTTGGGGCTGTGGAGCGTTTCTGGTCGATCGGCAGTTTGCTCGTGAGTTTGCTCACAGTCCGAGGTGGGATCGAGGCTCAAGGATTTAAAGACCTCAAGAAAGCATCCATCTTCGTTTTCTCTAGCAAACCTTCCTTTAAGTAAAACCACATATGTTCAATATGGAATGCGGTTTTGGGGAGAGAAACGTCTGTAAGGCTGAAGCTCTACTTACGGCGTATAAACACAATCACATTCATGCTATCACGGCCCCTCTTGAGGTCGACAGCAATGATCACAGGCAAAAGCACTGCTGGACATGGCTCTTGGTTTAGGATACGTAACTTTCACTAGACCCGAAAGCCGAAACTCTAAGCGGAGTGAATCTGGAGTGTCTGCGTGGAACTGCTGCTAGAAAGTGGGTTCCGGCTGAGGACGCCAGGTGCAAATCGCCGATTTCGTAATGCCCAGGCGAAGATACTTGATAGCCCGCTGACGTCCCTGACAAGTGCTGCATCCTACTGGTAGCCATTTAGAAGATGGTTGTTGATTTGAGGGCAGTGCTGCTCGCCGCGCCAACACCCTTGCAGGTAACACCCTATACCCTTAACCCTGAACGCTGTGCCCTTGCAGCAAGCCCCAACCACATGCGTTCGTCCAAACAACAAGTACCCAGAGAATACAGCATCCCTCCTAAAGGAATCTTCCCGGAATCACCATAGGACTCCTGAGTTGGAGGGCCTTACTGGCGGAAGTCTGGCATACTGAACTCCATGAGCTAGAAAGCCTTGTGAACGACTTCAGTAACTCTTTCAAGCACAGCCCCCCCTCCCCCCTTCTCAAAAAAAGAGCATTCTTTGAGAGGCTTTGAGTCGCTGGTTCTGGAAGCAGAGCACAGTCCAAGTGCTCGAGATCACTTTTGGGAGTCATGCACTGGAACCGAGAAGTCTTCTAGGTCTCCATGGTCTGCGGGTTAAGGCCTCTACCGTCGGTGATTGCTTATCTGGATATTCTTTATGTTTCTTGCTCTGGGCTCTAGTATAGCAGTAAAAGCCAATTGGGAAACCCTGCGGAAGCCAATTGGGAAACCCTGCGGAATATTCTCTATTTCTGATTCTTCGCGCTGCTACTGCGAATGGTCGATCTTGTGATCAATTGTGACAGCATCTGCGGCTCTGTACACAGCCGACGAGGCCTTTCTGCGGCGAAAAGGCACGGGAACACATTCAGCAACTGGAAAGGTCCAGATGGATTTGCGACCTACTAAACCTTATACCCAACAGTTTCAAGGTTACGTTCTGGTGTCAAAAGTTCATGGGCCACCGACTCTCCAAGCCTTTAGTTCTTACTAGGTTTAGGGCTTCGACTGTCGAGTTTCGGGGGCTGTCTGACCAAATACACCCAAAGCTTGTTGATGCAGATGGCACATATACTTGGTGCTACTACGCCATCACGTTCCACAACAACAGAGACCCGAGAACACCGCCGCCGTTGGAACTTAGGGCTTTCGTCAAGCCTGTATTGCTCTGGGCTTGAACTAAGGTTGAGGTATGCCAGGGATCTACTATCTAGGGCGTTAGGGTTTGAGGCTTTGGAGCATGTGCGACCTTTGCATCATCAGTAGGTACTCCAATCCTCCAGTAAAGAGGCTGCTGGCTCCGGCAAGTTGTCATGTTTTTGTTCATGCCTTCGCGCATACGGCTCGTCGAACAGCTGATAATTGCCAAGAGTGAAGCCGATTTCAGCCGGGATGTCCCAATCCCTCACTGACATGCAATTTGCACTCAGCTTCGGTGCTAGTCCGTCTATGTAGAAGCTGAGCAACACAGCGAATCTGGAGACCTCTGAGACAAGAGGACAATCAAGAACACCGGAGCCTCATTCACACCCAAAGCAGGGTACTTATCGTGAGTCGAATTCAACACAACGTACAGATTATCCTAAGCGGATTTAAGCAGCCCCAAACCTTGTAATTACGCACTTAACCGTCATAACACACTTACCTAAACCTCCCAAAGTAGGTAAAATAATGGCCCAATACCCATAAAGGGCTATTATTCTACATGCTTTTGGGGTCCAGGTATAAAACCAACGAATAAAGGATCCCTCCTCCGTGACGGGATCTGGGACTTCCTGTGTCGGCCTAGGCTTCAATGCACTTCATCGCGCCTCGCTTTTTGCGGGCGCCGGCGGCCTGGTGCTGGTGGCTCTTCGATATGAACTTAGGTGCTGCCATGATCAGGATAAGGTTATCTTATGGGATTGTTTCTTTATGGCTCAAGGCTGAGGTGCTGGGGGCTTTTCTTAGGGGATTGCTTTTATGGTTTCGGGTTGGGGGGTTCGTATATGGGTGGTTGTCAAAATTATGGTCCCTTTTTGGTCCCTATTATAGTACGGCAGCTATTATTCAGGGTACCCCAAAAGGGACCTCAAAATTGACAACTACCCATATGTCGGCCAAGACGCAACAAATCTGAGCTGCACAGTCGATCAAAAGTTCTAACTCCGGCGTGTGCACGTTCACGACGATCGGTTGCTGCACTGGTTGTGGTTGTGGCCGCACCGTAAACGGCTCGGGACGGCCTGTCTCTCCTCGGGTGCGACCTCTACTCGACAACCTGCTTGCATCGGTCCTCGTCATTGCTGTCTTACAGCTCACTTCCAAAGAAAGGCTAAAAGTTGTACTGTATTAGGTTTGGGGGTTTATAGGGCTTGGGAGGCGAGGTGGTGGGGCTTGCAAACGAAAAGTCAGAAGCTCACTATGAAACGGTCAAACAACCCACCATATCCTCTTTTACGCAACCCCACTTTTCAAACTCAGCCACAAAATCTGATATGGAGGCCTAAGCAACTTAAGCCCTCAACCTTAAATCTAAAGCTCCGAACCGTAAAGCCGAGAAGCCCGACACCTGCGTCACCGGAACCCCGACTGCCTGAAACCCCTGACCTCCCAAGCCGCCTTGAGCCCCCACTCAAACCCTAAATCCCAAACCCTGCAGCCCCCAAAAGCCGCTGTACCCTCGATCTTGAACTCCTACAGCTAAACCTTGAAGCCCTTTACCCCAAAATTCCAAATCCCCAAAACCCAAGCCTCAACAAACACACATAGCCCTGAAATACCTAAACCAAAACCGAAGCCCCGAATACCCTGAGCCGTTAAGTCACCCAAACCCCTGACCCACAGACCCGAAAGCTTGCCCTAAACCATTGAACCTAAAGATTCCCACCCCCAGAGCCCAAAACAATCAGCAAGATCCTGTTTTCTGAGTCAGCCCTACTTTTCAAAAGCCTCCCCCAAAGCGCCAAATCCCCTTGTCCCGAAATCCCCGAAACACCCGAAAACACCGGATCCCTAGATCCTAGCCACCTGAGCCCGACACCCCAAAACTCTACATCTCGAACACCCCTAAACCTCATGGCCTCGGCTTCGACGATGCCTTTTTACCAGCCTCCAGGGCGGCAACGGTTTGAAGAATTTAGGGTCTTAGGGTTTAGCTTTATGGGTAGGGCTGGATTTAGAGTTTAGGGTTTCGGGTTTGGGCTTTAAGGGTTTAGTTGTACCCCACTGTGGCCTCGGTTGGCGCTTCCACCCAGCGCTGGCGTGGGTTCACGCCACCGGCAATGTCCTCCGTGGGACCAAGCTGAAATAAGACTCCGTCGCATGCACAACGTGTTGGGAGGTCTTGGATTTAGGGCTCGAGGTGTAGGGCTGGCTGGAAACTACCCAAACTTCTCCTGCGAAGCTCTTCATGCCTGAGGTACTGGAGCAGGGGAAGAGCATGTCCGCCGGCATGCTGCCACCCCCAACCCCCAACCCCTAACTGCCTTAAATCAACCACACCCTGTGACACTAATTCCTAAAACTGAATCCCTGAAATCCATTCCTAGCAACCCATCAGGATTGGGCTTCGAATCCTGATGCTGGCCCATGGCGGTTCTATTAGAACCTTTGATTTGGCCTGGAGTTGCAAATCGAAACACAGCTTGCTTCAGACGCGGGGTCCATGTGTAGACAGGTTTACGAATAAAACCCTTCAAGCAAAACAGCCGTAACACAAAACACAAAACTTGCTCTACACCCTAAAAACCCTAAAACACCCTAAACCCTCAACCCTAAAAATCCTAAACCGTGACCCTAAGCCTTTCGGTTTTACTATTAGGACGGCCTGGCCGATGGTGTTTAGCGACTCTGTGAACGTCGAGAGGTTCCTTGCGACCGGCTCCGGCTCCGTCTTTGGCGAGTTGAGGAGTTCGGGCCTAAGGGGTTTATGGTGTATGTATGTATGTATGTACGTATGTATGTATGTATATAAGGGCTCGAATGGCCGCAGCAGCGCGGAATATCGTTAGCCCCAGTGCGCATGGAGGGCACGCTTTGGTGCCGCGCTTGTGAGGCGGCATGCAGTTCTTTGTCAAGACCCTGACAAGCAAGACGATTACGTTGGACGTGGAGGCCAGTAGCACGTTCGACAATGTCAACGCTACGTTCCAGGATAAGGAAGGCACCCCACCCGACCAGCAGCACCTGATCCTTGCTGGCAAGCAATCGGAATTAGAGGATGGCCGTGCTCTCCCGGGTTACAACATCCAGAATGAATCGACCCTGCACTTGGCGCTGCGTTTGCGAGGCAGCATGCAGATCCTTGTCAAGACCTTGACGGGTAAGATGATCACCTTGGACGTTGTGGCCAGTGGCACGTTCGGCAAGGTTAGACGAAGAGTGCGGCAGTGTCGTAGCCATCGGCTCCATCGGTGCCTTCGTGTACCAGGCCGGGTCCATGCTCTTGCAGCAGCTGTAGCTCGATGACCCGGTGGATGCCAGCAACCTAGCAGCTTTTGCTAAGATCTTACTTGCATGATGCGTTATATGTGCTTG